GGGGGTGTCGGCGCCGGGGTCGGCCTGCCAGCCGCTCGGAGCAGAGCCGGACAAGCCGGGCCATGAGCGGCTGGCGCCGCTCCTCGCTACTTCCCCGGACTTCCTCCCTGCTCTGATCCCGGGGGATGCGGTGCGGAAGCAAGGATGAGAAAAAGCAGGGTGCACCGCATGGTCTTAGCCACTTGCTTGGGCTCCTTGATCCTGGTCATCTTCTACTTCCAGAGCAGCCTGAACCCGGGTAAGCGAAGTCTTTACTCCGCAGCCGCGTCCCGTCACGTTCTTCGCCTCGGCGCGAAACCAGGCGTGTTTTTGGGGGGGGGCGGGGGAGGAGCGCTCTCTTTTTAAGCCTTTTTGCCCCTGAGTTGAAACAGCGGAGGGACTCGTGGCACCTTCAAGGTTCTTCTCACGTTGTTTTCTGGCGTAAGTTTTTGACCGAAGAGCAACACAGATATTTAAGGTGGCCTCAGCAGAGGCGCTTTGTGGCTCTCGCTGCAGAAGACTTAACATCAGACCCCCTTTCGAAGTTGGCCAGGAGGGGCTTTTCTTAAGTCCTTCTGGTTAATCTTCCCATTCATAAGGCGGCGGCAGAGTTCAACACTCTTTATTACGGTTAATAAATTAATGACATGGCTTTGCTATGATGGATACCTTTTAAAGTAACATTGACAAATAAAAAAAAATAACGTTGCTATAACATTGATACAGGCTACCATCCCTAACTTACTTGAATGCTAAATGGGTATGATTTCTGAGAACAGCTAGGAAGGAGCCGGCTGCATGGTAGGGGAGAAAAAGATATACGTAATTGAGAGGTGTCCAGCAGTGAAATACTTTCAGTCTGCTGGTTTCAGTGAAAAGATTTTAGTGATATTATTTTCATGCTGGGACGTGAACCAGTAGGGTTAATTGATATTCAACAGGCAACTGAGTCAACATCTAGAGATGGACTTCTGATACAGAGTGTAGAAGTTGCCAGGTGGCCAAGGTTTTCTGGAGAGTAAGGACAACAATATAGATAATATTAGCATATTATCTTAAAATCCCAATTAGCTTGGTGACTTATTTCTAAGTGGTTTCAAGTTTAGGTTTCTTAAATGTGTAGCTATAGGACACTGAACACAATTTGCACAAAGGATATTAGAGGCTGATGGCCTTGAGACATGTGAAGGTAAGTTAAGGCTTTAGTTTAACTGAATTCAGTTTAAACAAATAGGCTGTGAAATCAGCTGGCCTTCTGTTTAGGTATATATGCTAAATTTTCTGAACTAAAACACAGTTCATCTTAATATTGGGTAGGTCAGTTGTCAGCAACATTGGTAAGCAAATATGAACTTACTGTGAAAGCCTTAAGTAGAATCATAGAAATGACACTAGGGCAACTCCTAAGATATTGCAAATTTTAACTAAGTTCACTCTTCGGATGGTTGCACATTTTGACAGTGGGGTGTGACATATAGAATGCGCTTGCTGCAAACTGAACTGTGTTTAAAAACTTACCTTGGCATAAATGACACTCAGAGTATCTGTAGTGGAGATAGAATTGGTATGGAAGTCCACCTATTCCTATATAGGTCTTAATTTCTTGGATTCTAAACGTTACTGAACAAAATGACTTACCTCTGAGTAACATGAATGAGACACATGCACTTTCTAATGCCCATCCTAAGAGTATGGTGGTCCCCTTCACGCAGAGATGATCTGACAGTTTTTAGCAACCTACATCCATTTACAATGTAATTTTTATATCACTCTGACACCAAATTTAATTAGGAGGGTATCGTAGAGGCAAAGCAGTACAGATGGGAAGGCATAGAAAGGCATAGAAGTGTTGCACTCCAAGACAGATAACCTTCTTGATCACATATGCCTTGCTACATATAACAAAGTGACTCTCTTCAACTCCTCTAGACTCATAGGTAATAACAGCTATGGTTTGTTGAGGCAATGGGAGTACTAGGGGGAAGACTCCCCAGGAAAGAAAGCACAGTGGGAGGCTCTCAGTAGGAAAGCAGTTCCAGTTCTCCTCCTCTATTCCCTTGATCCCTTACCTCTCCCCAAAAGCTCACCAGCATTCCTGTGGATCACCTAAGTGAGGCATGCACAAACCCAACTGAAAGAGTTTTCCAGATTCAGGAATGTGCACAGAGTTACCTAACGGAGCTTGGAATATGCTGACAGAAGCTTCTTTCACAGATGCTTGGCTTTAACTGGATGGGGCTTGTGACTCAAACAGAAGAACTTGGAACTCGCTCATGTATTTATTCTCTGGACTCTGTTTGTCCCTTCCTACTTTATATACTGAGAAAGATTCCCTGCACTGGGAGATACGCTTTTCAATACAACTTAATATTCAACTTTGCATTTGTTGCATTAATTTAACTGGACCTTAAGCACAGTGCAACACTTCTTGTCCATGCCTATTCCATTCAGTTTGATGGAGATTATTTCTGGATATATGTATAAGATAGCAGTCTTAGCATGTCTGAGTTTCTGGCTGAAGACCAAAGCCCATATAACTAAAAAGAAGAGATTCAATGAATTACAAAACATTTCTTCTTTATATAGTGATTCAAAAGAAAGTCAGTGTAGTTTATTTCCAGCTAAAAATGCATAAGATTATAGCCTTGGTATTAACTTTCTTGATTCCTACAATATTTTTCACCATTACTCTTCTGCATCTAGGACATTGAATTGCCCATGTCTTTTGCCTTCAGAAAGGTAGTTTATCTGAGGAGAAATTATAACGCTTTGGATGAAGACATGACTGAATTAATTTCCATTGATTTCATTGGTTCTTCTCTAAGTAGAAATAACTTGGATCTCATAAATTGGCTGGTTCAGGAGTTCCAAAGCATTGACAAGAGGTTATGAATTGAAAAAATAGTTCCATTCAGGTATAATAAATGAAAAGCTGATTCATTTCTGTGGCAGTTAACTAACAGATTAATCTGCCAATTAATTCAATTAATAATTTGGCTATTCATCCAAGCAGTGCCAAACTTAAAGAAATCATCCTTTTGTTTCCTTCTTTTTGGTTATTGGATGTATGTTACTTCTCCATTCTAGAAAAACAAGTCCATGTGATTTTTGTGAATCAAGAATATGCTGGTATTTCTCAAGAATTTCTTAGCAGTTATCAGGATTGTGCTGATGTAAGTGGTGTCCTTTTTTTAGCACTCCAAATTGGAAGTAACATGTTAGGCAGAAGAATATAATCTAGTTGGCTGGATATTACACAATTTGAACAGTGTGTTATGGGATTGGTGTATGTTTAAATTTTACTACAGTATTGGGCTATCTTATGAAGTTCTGCAGTTTGGAGAAGACTGTATTTTAGAATTATAACATAACAGAGTTGGAAGGAATTGTAATGGATCATTGCAGAATCCATTACAGAATCACTGACGGATCATCCTCTAGCTTCAGTTTGAAGACTTCCAGCAAGAGAGAAATCACCTTTTAATGAGCAAACCTGTTCCAGTGGCTGATAGTTCATACAATCAGTTCCTCCTGATGTCTAGCCTGAACCTATTCTTTGTACTTTTAACCCCCTGGTTCTCCTCTGGCCTTCTAGGTCAATAAAGAGCCTCCTGTATCCTTTTCTCATGTAGTACTGGTCACCCCGTCCTATACTTGCACCTTACATTTTTCCCACCCAGATGCAGAACTTTACATTTTTCCTTGTTAAATTCCAGCCTGTTCATTTGAGCTCATGGTTCCTGCATATCTAGATCTTTTTGTACTAGTAGCTGTTTCTCAACCATTTTTTAAAGACAAAACTATCTTGATAGTATATTTACTTTGTTTAAGGTATGAAAAAAGAGAGATTTCTTGGTTGTACAAAAAGAAGAAGAAGAAGAAATTGCATTAGTTTTCATGGATTAGAAGTAAGGCTAAAGCAGTGGCTAGATCCAAAATTACTAGAAAGTAAATGCTCTAAATGCAGAAACCAAACATTAGGGAGTTATAAATCAGGCAAGATCTGATTCAGATTTGCTATTTGGCCCAATTTTATGATTTAAAACAATAAATTGAATTGATGAAAAGTGTATAGGCCAAAAGACTACAAAATCTTGAAATCAATTGCCCTTTGATTTGAAGGATGATTTGATGGAACTGCCTTTGAATCAAAGTTTTGGCTAATAAGCATACATAGGCTTGTGTTGTAAGTCACTGCATTTGGTCCTCCACCAGAAGGGGAAGAAGAGAAAACTTTTTTTATTCAGTGCCTTGATTGTACTTAAATGATATAGTTGATCAAGAATACTGTCTCTTTCTAAAAGAAACCCCATGCAAATATATCGTCCATGTCCTTGTTGGAGGTTATGAAGCACTGGGTTCAAATACAATATAAAAGGTATGATGTTTGTTCAGAATTGTGTATTGATAACTGAGAGTAAGACCTTGGAATTGGAAAGTGCCATTTAGGCCCCTGAGTTCACCTTCCTGCATCCAATTTAAAGCATCCCTGACAAGTGGCTGTTTGGGCTTCTTGTTCAGCTTGTTGTCTTTTTTAATGCGCCTTTTGCTTTGACATGTCTGAGAAATGAACCCCTTTCAAAAACCCTGACTCAGACTCAGATATAGATCCTTGCTGTGTTAGTGCCATCTTGCTTGATCATTGATAAATATATGAAAAACTTCTGAAGTGACAACCAATATTATATATTAGAATATGGTCCTGTATTATCCCAGCTTTATATACCCCAGATTTCTAGGTTTGGCCTTACCTAGTTTCCTTACAAGTTCCTGTGAAGCCCCATAATGCTGGGAAATTCAGGAAACAAGGACCTCTTGGATTTCTGGAAAGTTCTTCATTGCTAGTATGTAATGTAACAGGATCTTGAAAGCATGTGGGAACAATTCTCCTGTCAGACTTACATCTAGCGTAATTAGGGTGGAGTGGAGTGGATAGCATGAGCGGGGAAGATTCTGGGATGGAACTTCAAGGTTGTCAGGAGGGGGGAGAGACATTCCAGGGCAAGCGCCTCCTCAGCCTGCAACAAGAGCGTAGGAAGACGAAGAGGATGAGGCTGCCCCCTCCCTAGAGTCTCACGGGGTTTATCCACTAGTTGCTTTAGATAGGTTTAGTCTGGTGAGATTCTTTCTATTAGGTGCGAGCTAATAAAGGAACTGAACTGGACTGGATTGCCTTGATGTTGTTCTTGTGCTGAACCTGATAGGAGTTGCTGTGAATCTCTTTTCCACACTTCCCCCCTCCTCTCAGCTGAGGTGTCT